CTCAGGGTGCCCCCGGACACGCAGGAAGAGAAGGTGTCGTGCCCCAGGCAAGGTGGAGCCTTAGAGCCGGTGGAGAGGTTCAAAGCGAAGCACAAGCACAGTGAGAAGAGGCAGTTTTTTCAAGAAATGGCTCTAGGAAGATTAGACAACTATATGGGGGGGAAATACGTACACACGTATGTATGATTGAGGCCCCCAAGCCCCAGAGATGATCTTAGGTGAATTATGGGTTTAAATGTGAAAGGAAGGCAGTAGAGTATCTAAAAGATCATACAGAGAGTTTCTTTATAACTTTGTGAAAGCTATAAACAGGACATTAAAAGCCCTAACCAGGAAATGGTTACTTATTTGACTACATTTAAATGAAGAATTTCTTTTTGACAAAAGATACTTGTAGAAGAGTACACAGGCCTGCCTCTGAGTAGCAGAAAGATGCCTTCTCCGGACTCATTGATTCCAAGGGTGCAGAGTTCAAAACACTCTCAGTACCTTTTAGAGATACAGGGCTAAGCAGCAAAGCTATAAAGAAAAGTAAGGAAGCAAATACCTTTAGAGCCAGAGAAGTGGGCCCCAGCAGGGGAAGGAAGAGGGCGCGGTGGGGAGGGTCCACAGGGCCTCGGGGCCTGCCACGTTGTGGTTCCTGGCAGGAATGGTCTCGTTTTCGGGTCTGCTTTGTGATCATTCATCAAGCCTATTTTGCTTTTGTGTATTTTTCTGTATGTTTTCTTTCATGATACAAACATTTTAAAATAGTGTCTGTCTCAGAAGCTTCTTCTGAGAGTTCAGTGAGATTTTGCACAGCACAGTGGCAAAGAGTCTGGCAGCTAAGTCAGTGATGGGTAATTATTGCACTAGGGCCATCCTGAGTGCGGCCTGTCTCTGAATATGGAACTCAGCAGAGGCTTTGTCTCGACCACAATCATGGGTTCACCCAGGGAAGGTGTTCAGGACATGAGGGCAGAATGGGGGGCCCTGAGAGGTCATGGGCCTGCCCCCACAGGGAAGCTGCATCTCTCCTGCCAGGCCCTTCAACCAGCAGACCAGAGTCCCTGGGTGGAAGCCCAGGTCAGTGACAGGAGTACATCAGAGAGTTGGACCGGAGCTCTGGAGGAGGTAAGGCCTGCTACAGCTCAGGGAACCTCCTGCCTCCGTGCTGTGGGAAAAGCCCTGGCATGTGGGTGCAACCCAGCCCCCACCAAAGCAACCCAGCCCCTGCCTTGTGGGTGTGCAGGGCCCAGAGGCAGAAGGTAGGGCTTCATCTGCATGGGCTCCCAGGCTTCAGAAAGCCACCACGGCCGCCCAGGCCTTGGCCCACGTTGGACAAAGCTGGCCAGGGCAGATTGGCAGCATCAGAGCTGCATCACACAGCCACAGTGGGTGAAAGCTGCCCAAAGCCATCAAGACAGTGGAGGTCTGGCTCCCTCCAGCCTAGCTAGTCAACTTTTGCTAATTTTGTCAAGGTTTTTGAGATATAATTGCCATATAAATTCACCCTTTCAAGTGCATAATTCAATGAATTTGCCAAAAATGTGTGTTCAAGTAACCACCTCCGCAGGTCCAGCTTCCCGCTTGCCAGTCAGTCTCCTTCCCTGGGTCCCTGGCAACTGTTCATCTGTGCTCTGCCCCATCGTTTTAACTTCTCAGAAGCTCAGGACCATTCAGGTTGTCGCCTCTTGAACCTGGCTCTGTACACCAAGCATAGTGTTTTTCAGATTTATCCTGTGGTTTCACATACCAATAGTTCTTTCCTTTTTGTTGCTGAGTACTAAATATCTCACCATATGCCCTGGGTGAAGATTTGAGTTCTTTCCAGTTTGGGGCAATTGTGAATCAAACAGCTCTATGTCTTCATAGACAGAGTGTATGTTTCATTCTCTTTGGGGTAACTACCCAAAGTGAGATCACTGGATGATGGACGTTAGAGAAAGCTGACAAACTCTTCTCCCCAGTGGGTCTATTCCACTTGGATTTTATTCCCTTTGGTGGCACTGTTGTCTAGTTACTGTGGAAAGACCAATGACTCACTAATTCAATGAGAAAATCTAATTTTGGTATAGTTGTATTTTTATTGTCTTAGTTCTTTAAATACGAACGACACCTCAAAGGATCGAGGCAAGAGTGTCTACCTCTGGGATGATCACAGGTATTCCCATTTGCCAAGACTCTTCTGATTTTTGCACTGAAAAGCCCACATCCTGCAAAAACCCTCAGTCCTACAATCAAACTGGACTGGTGCCACCCTACTGTTGAGGGTCAGGTGTTGTGCCAGGCACTGTATAACCATCACATCATTTTATCCACCGGCCAGGGTCAAGATCCAGCATTTCTGTCCCCATTGTACATAAGGAAACAGTCTTCAAGATGCCAAGCTTCTTGTCCAGCCCCCCATTCAGAGTAGGTAGATACAAGCTTTGGCCCTAGGTCTGCCAGGCTGCAAAGCACCAGTGTCTTTCAAGGCAGCAGAACCATTCCCTCCTGCCCAGTTCTGGGTCTCATGGCCATAGGCCAGCAGGTGGAGTTTTGCTGCCCTCTGGTGGCAGAAGGAATGGCATGCCATGTCTCAGTTTACTCTTGAAGATAAGTGGGGGCACACTTTGGTCCCAGGAAGCAGAACCTCTAATCCTGACTAAGCCCTAAGAGGATGTCACACAGATGCCCTCCACCAGCATCTGTTGGAAATATTGATCCATCCATCCTTGAGTCACATGATCACTCAGGCCCTCATGGACTCAGGCCTATATTGCCACGTAACCCTGAGTGGGTCCTTTATCACTTTGGGCCCCTGCTCCCTATCAGTAAATCAGAATGATAGCTACGTCAATACACTAATGCTTGGCTTAGACATGTAGGTTATTACTGGCACTTTTGAGTCCACATGCCTTAACTCTCCCCCACCTGTCTGCATTCATTCACTTAATTCATTAACTTCCATCTAGCAGTTATCTGCCAATCACCAGCTCTGGACCAGACCCTAAGTTAGAGGTGCCAGGGAGACAGCTGTCTGTGTCTGTACCTCTCTGCTAATACACTGTCTTGTGTATTTGTTCATTCATGAAGTATCAATTTAATAATGGAGTGTTCATCCTTTCCAGTACTCACTGAACTTCCTTTTCATTCACTCATCCATCACTTGATCATCTCATTGATACATTATTTCATTATTTTTTAGACAGTGATTGATTCTTTTCCTTCCTCCCTCATTTCTCTGTTCTGCAAGTGTTCTAGAAGCACCCACTCTACTCGAAGCCAGTGTTAGATGCTGGGATTCTGGCTTAACCCTCCCCCAGAGGGAGGGAAGGAGACTGATGGTTAGGACACATTGTGGTAACTGTGACAAACCAGCCAGTGGGCCTCAGGGCAGGGGAAGCACCAAGAGAGAAGTGCCTGCCTGGAGGTGGGGCTAGAAGGCAATCAGAGGCGGCTTCTCGGAGAAGATAGCATTTAAGCCAAGCCAAGAAGAATGTGTGGGAGTTCTTCATGGAGGAAAAGACATATCAGGTAAATCTTTGTTTTGTAGCTTATTTAAGGGAAGGTGAAGTACTTGGGTCACTGGCATGTGTGAGATGGAGCGAGTGACCAGACTTCACTCTCCTGATATTCCCGTGACAGACCTGAACCTCTCCAGGACTCCCCTCATTCATCACCTTCAGCCCCTGAAAACCACCCACTGTCAGGCGGCCATGGGTGGTTTGAAAGCCTGTCACAGGAGTTGCTATCTGACCCTTGGCAGTGGGAGATCTCTCCAGGCAGCAGAAGCAGCACTTTCTGAGGTTCCTGGGAGTGTGACTCCATGCTCATCCAGCAGCTGTTTATTGAGTGCTTGAATACAGCAGTGACCATGGCCAAATTCTCTAGAGGCAGAGATGGTAAATGAGAAAATCAAAAATTGTGAAGACCAATGGGAACACACCTGTAATTGAATAAATAGGGTTTATTTTATTGCCTCTTTCAAGAGAAAAGACTGCATTTACTTCAGTAAAACCATATTAAAAAGTGGGGGACTCATTGTGAAAAATTCGTGCTGTCTTAAATAAACAGATTGCCAGAAATGAGGGGGCTTCAGAACGGACCAGACCCAGAGAAATGCCAAGGCAAGGCCCAAGGATTTGGGCCTGGGTTAGGTGACCAGGGGATGAGTTCAAGTAAGTGGTCTGTTATTCAAGTTTAGAGTCATCTTGAGAATGTGTATCTTAAGTATTCAAAGTGGGAGGTATGAATTAGTCTAGTGCTGTCTGAAAGAAGCAGTTACTCACATTGTCAGAATGGGGAAATGTTTGGTCTATTTCTGGTGCCAACAACATTCTCGTTTTTTTCATCTATATTCAAACATGATTACAAGCAGTCTTGTTTATGTCTTGCTCCATCACGGTCTCACATGGTCTTTGTGATGTTCTGGGAAATTGTGTAAGTCCAACAGAAAAACACCAAGACCTAGCTAAGAATGCCAGGCCAGCTCCCAGATGTGACCGGCAGCTTTTCTCTTTGTTGTCAGAAAGATGCAGAATTCTCTCCCCCAAATGTATTGGCTGAGAGTCACGTGCAAAGTAATTAGAAGTGAACAAAGACATTGGGACCCAGCCTTCTGGGGGACTCACTGCGACGCCTTTGTGCTGTCTTAAATAAACAGATCGCCAGAAATGAGGGGGCTTCGGAGTGGACCAGCCCCGGACAAGTGTCAAGACAAAGGCCCTGGTGGGGAGGGATACGGAGAACCTTCAGCAGAGCCACAGGGGAGCCTCGACGCACACCGGTACTGGGCAAATCTCCTGGCCCTCGGGTACGTAAGGCGGCCCCTCCCCTAAACACATCAACTTTAGGACGCCTCGATCTACTCAGAAGCGGGAAGCGAAACCAACCTGCTAGGATCGAAACAACAGACCCGCCTCAGGCTCGTGAATATTAAGCACCTTCTTCCGGTTCGCGGCTCCGCCCCAGCCCCACCCACCAGGAGACCGCGCTTGCTGGCGCGCGGCTCTGTCGTCATAAGGGCGCGCCGCCGCCGCGCGCCCGGGAGGCAGGGTAGCTGTCATGGCGAGCTCTGCCGCCTCCTCGGTGCGACCACCGAGGCCCAAGAAGGAGCCCCAGGCGCTCGTCATTCCCAAGAATGCGGCGGAGGAGCAGAAACTCAAACTGGAGCGGCTCATGAAGAACCCGGTGAGACAGACGCGGGTTCGACGGCCCTTCCTGTTCCTATCCTGGTTGGGTTCTGACGCCTCCGGGACCCGCGGGCCCGGCATCCCCGCCTCGCCCCCCAACTCTGGAATCCAGACCCAAGCCCCAGGGCCAGCCCCTAGAAAGAAACAGGCGGCTCCGGAGATGGCGAGCTTCCCTTCTGATGATTGAGCTTAGTCTGGACGAGGGCGCTGTTGGGGGGGTGTCGGGGAGGCGCTGCCGATTCCCCTGCTCTAGACCCTTCCCGCCTTAACTTTTTGTGGACTGGAGCGTTAGATTAGAAAGGCAGAATCCGTGAGTTAGCGCAAGCGCTAATTTTCTTCTAAACAGTACGGATTATGGGCGAGATACCTGGGGCAAGTCACTCTCCTATCATCTGGTCCTCCGTCATAAAAACTACTGGATGAAAAGATTCTGTGCTTTTATTAACGAGGGTGGGCTCTCCTGTGGTAAGAAGGGTTAAAACTCGTCGTTGCAAACCATAGTGACTTGGATTTTAGAGGTCTGCTCTGGAAAGTTAAACGAGGCCGTAAGCTGTAATAGACCCCAAAGTATATAGGTTGGAGTAAAGCTACAACGGAGGAAAAAAGGTAAAATCAGCTTCCAGTGCAAGGTATAAAAGCTGCCGTACTTAACCAGTTAAAATTCTTTGGTTATAAGAGATGTGACTTTGTCAGCAGTTTATACTTATCAATGCCTTCCTGTTTAATTGTTGCAGGACAAAGCAGTTCCAATTCCAGAAAAAATGAGTGAATGGGCACCTCGACCTCCCCCAGAATTTGTCCGAGATGTAATGGGTAATGTGTATGTGTGGTGTGTGTGTAAATAGTTTTTAAAGTCGAGATAGCGTTTGTTAATTAAATCTCTGAAGGGGAAAAGTGTTCACAGGCCCAATATTTTGCTGTTATAACGAAGGATTTTGGTTATATATTACTTGGAATTAGAGAATTTTCTTTTGCATTGATTTTAATAATGCAAAATATGTTATCTAAGTGGAAATAGTTATATTTTGCTGGGCTGCAAATTGACATATACTAATTATTTTATAAATAATAGATGTAAGAACTTTGAACCCCTGCCATTGCATCATTCCGCTTGTAACTGATACAGAAGTTCAGACCTCTGTAGTCAATGACATTCACACTCAAGGAAAAGTTGTTTTTACAAAAATACAGTTGTTGCAGTTAACCTCCTTCTTTCCATTGAATGTATCATGGACATCTTTTCAGCTTTGAAATCCAGCATAACTAAATGTGAAGTCATCCTTTGAGGGGAGGAAAAGGTCACAGGCTCTCTTGTAGGTTTCTGGTACTGAACTATAGTCAGTTCCTCCTCTTACACACGTTAGAGCAGAACATTTTGTGACTTTATTTTCCACATTCATGCAATAAATGCAGAGTGATGTCTACATTATTCCAGGCCCTGTGCTGGATTCTGGAACACAGTGCAGAACAGGGCAGGCAGGATGCCTTCCATGACTCCAGTTTCTTCTTTAGCCTATTTTGATTAAGGGTGGTCTATGTTGGTAACTAGATTTCATCAAGAATTCTGAACAGGGCACTCCCTGGTGACTCAAGGAGTTAAGACGCAGCACAATAAAGCTATCCGCAGCCATTGCAGCACGAGTTCCATTCCTGGCCAGAGGAGCTCTCTGGTGCAGCAGACCTCTTCTGTCTTGCCTGCCGCTCCCCTCAGCAGTGTATTTCAGGAGATCCACCTGTTCTTTCCCCACTCTATCTCTGGTGAACCCTCTCACTCCCCACATCTCTGGCCCACACCCCAGCTTTTGTATGCATAAATAAATAAAACTTTAAAAAACAAAAAAAAAATTTCAGAACTTTCCTGCCTTTAGGTTCAAGCGCAGGGGCTGGAAGTGGAGAGTTCCATGTGTACAGGCATCTGCGCCGGCGAGAATACCAGCGACAAGACTACATGGATGCCATGGCTGAGAAGGTCAGTGAGGAGGCTGGTCGAGCCGGGGGTCTGGGCAGTGTGTACTTACAACTTTTTAAAAAGCATTTGAAGAGGACTTAGACACGCCTAGTTATGGCATGCTTGAGGGCCGCCTTCTAAGACGGCATGAGAAACTGGTACCGAGTTGCATCGGGTTCTCTTAGGTCAGCGCTTCTTGATGCTCATACTAGGGGACAAGTGAGGGAAGGAAACATCCATGTGTGTGGAGAACACAGCAGCATCCCCTCTCCCTGAGGTCATCTCCATGAAGCAGATGTGCCACCACTCGAGTTATTATGTATTAGTGTCCATCTGTCCATCTTAGCTGAGTGCCTGCGATTCCAGGTAACTCTGCATTTGGTGGGAACAGTGTGCTTTCCTGTGTGTCCTTTATTGAGGCGTAGATGTCTTTGCAGTTATAAGTGCATTCCTGTAGGCTGTTGCATGTCTCTTCCTGGAGTAGGCTCTGGGGCAGAAGAATTAATATTGGGTTGTTGGAAAAGTCATGATGTATTTTTTCTATGTTTTCTTTCTTTTTTTTTTTTTTAAGTTTTTGTTTAGAACTGGCGTACAGGCCAGAGGTGCAGGCTATGAGAGGATTCACCTTCATCAGAGTGGGGAGCAGAACAGGCAGATCTACTGAAATGCACTGCTGAGGGCAATAGCAGGTGAGACAGGAGAGGTCTGCTGTGCCATGTGGGTCAGCTCTGGGGCAGGGGAGCAAACTTAGGTCTTAGGTGTGATAGTGCTGAGACTTGACCCCCAGGCCACCCAGGAGGCTCCCTGTGTTTTTCAAGAAAAAATGCATCATGACTTTTCCAGCAACTCAGTATTTCTTCATTTTATAGATGAGGAAACGGAGACTTAGAAACAGGTTGCTGCTTAGAAATAACACAGAGACTAGATGTGTGGGTGTGTGTTGTGTTAGGTACCAGATAACAGCAGTGTGTTAATGCTGCTTTAAAACCGGTTACTTGGTGACTGAAGCTAAGTAAGACTTGAAAATTCCAGACTCCTTACATCTCCTCTACTCACTACTCTGCTAAACCTCTGACACTCAATCTCAAGTCCAGAAGCAATCCCGTAACATGTAATACCTGCTATCTCTGCCCGGCTTCTCACCAACTGGCTACAAAGTAGAGGCTCCCTTCTTGGGTTTGATTAATTTGCTTAGAAGAACTCAGGGAGACTTATAGTTTATTTTAAAAGGCCATAACTCAGGAATAGTCCGGTGGAAAGGACTCAGATCTTACCTTCCCTCCCCTAGTACTTACACATGTTTTTCAACCCAGAAGCTCTTTCATCCCATCCTTTGGGGGTCTTTGAAGGTATGACTGACCCCTAGTGATTAATTCAGCCTCCAGCCCTGTCTCTGGAGGTGGAGCTGAAAGCCCCCCTAACCCCTTTGGCTTTCTAAAAGTCATTCCTTAACTGGCTGAGAGGGGCTTGTTAACGAATAACAAAAGACACCCTTTCACCTTTTATCTTCAGCATTTCCAAACCTGAGAGCTGAACCACCCATAATGAAAGATGCCCTTTTCATGCTTAGATGGGAAATTTGTAAGCATTCTGGAAGCTTCATGCCAGGAGTAGTGAATGATGACCAATATAGATAGGTGTTTTCTTGTTCTTGGCTACAATATAACACTGTTGTAGGCCTTGGCTCAACAAAGCAGTGGTGTTCTGTGCCTTCAGGGAAGACACCCTGAGCCCTCTCTTAACTTTCTCTCAGCTTGTTGTGGGTGGTAGCTTAACTGAAAGAGATACTTGCCATCAGATAGCCATATATTGAAAGGCGTGACCCTGGAGATGATGGTTAATAGCACCTCCAGCGAGATAACTTCTAGAACTCTTAGACCCAGCTCAAACAGAACCCCACTATTGGCTACTCAGACTCAAATGTGTCTAAATGATGTGGGCTTTTTTGCAGCAAAAATTGGATGCAGAGTTTCAGAAGAGACTGGAAAGGAATAAAATTGCTGCAGAGGAGCAGACTGCAAAGCGGCGAAAAAAACGGTAAGGGCACTGTGACACCCCATAACTGAGGTGACCTGAGTGCAGGAAATGTGAGAGTAGACGGCTGATGCAAGTCCTTGCAGTGGGCTCACCTGTCTGACCAGTGGCCCTCTGGCCGGTCAGCCCATGGTGGCGCAGCCAGCCAAGGAATGACTTTCCTACTAGACCCTGGGAGAGATGAAGCCATTGATTGCTCCTCGTGCCCTCTCCCCAAACCCGCCCCCGGCTCACTACAGATTATCCAGCGCTTGGAAGTCAACACTTGGGTCACTGCATGGACTTCTGTCTCCTTCACTTCTGTATTCCAACATCAGACTTAAGGTTCTGTCTAAATTTCTCATTTAGATTAGGGTATGTGGCCCAAGTAAGTACCTGTTTATTCAGACTACAGACTGAGTGCATTTTAATAAATGCTGCCTCCATCTTTAGAGAGCCGAGCAGAATTCTAAAAGCAGTTTTGAATATCTTGGAATGGGAAGGCAGCTCCAGCAGAGGTCACTTTCATCACCACAGGGCACCAGAGGCTGAAGACAGTGTAGGGTAGGAAACTTTTCCTTTCTTCCCTTCTAGGTTTTTTGACAGGTCTGATATTTAAGTTGACATCAGGCAGATAAAAGAGAAAAACCAATTTCCAATGTACAGGAGCTCCAAAGACATGAGACCCTCACAAAATGGTCAAAGCAGGCGACTTTTAAATCTTCACAATTTGTGAAGAATCAACATCACAGAAGTAATTGGTGTAAGAATTAGTAAGTTACATAATAAGCCAGTGAAAAAGTGTCAAATAATCCAGTAACAAGTCAGAACTCAGTCTGAAGGGGAAGCAGAGCTTTGAGGAGACATGCAGCCTGGGAGCCCCAGACCCAGCGCCGGGCAAGTGTCCACAGCAGGGGCACAGAGCAGATGTAGGAGGGCTGTCACCTGCAAGTAAAAGAAGACTTTGATGTTCTTATTGCACACAAGATCTGGGGTACAGGCCAGAGGTGCAGGGGTGGGTGAAACGATTCACCAGAGACAGAGTGGGGAGCAGAACTGACAGGTTTACTGAAATACACTGCTGAGGGGAGCAGCGGGTGGGTCGGCTTCCTGGCAGGGGATTGAACTTCTGGTGCAGTGGCTGTTGATAGCTTGGTAATACTGAGGCTTTAACCCTGTGCCACCAGATGGGCCCCTAAAATAAGATTCTCGAAAGGGGAATGAAAAGCCTGTGAGAGGAAGGGATGCCCACACATCCGCACAGTGATTGTTTCCTTTGAAACCAGGTCCATAGTGTTTGCTGATTCCAGTGAATCTCCAAATGTGCCAAATTCCAGTTGTCAAGAAACCAGTGTAATGTCAATGATGTATGTGGTTGTAAACTCCACGTCACTAAGCGGTCAGTCGTGGTAGTGGTCTTCTGGTTCCATTACAGATTTTCCTTTATCAATTTTGAGTCCATGTTTCTTAGCCTCCCCACAGAATGAACAAGGCTCGTCATACAGCCTTGTCAACCCTTGTCCCTGCTTCTGGTGACAAGGCCATCTCTCTGTTTCTTGTACAGGCAGGGCGCCTATCCCATGGGACATGTATTTCCTACTTTGAGTGGGGCAAAGGAGGGTCAGTGTCCTTGCTGTCTCAAGCAACTAGTTCACCATGATCAGTGAGAGAAGGGCACACCTTGGCAACCTATTCTGCTCTCCTTCAGCACCTTGATAGTGTTACTGGTGTTGGAGTAGCCAAAGGATGAAAACTATTTCCTTTGTCATTGTAGTGTGTGTGTAACATTTTAAAAGATGCTCTAAGGCAGTGGTTACTTTCCAAAATAAACAATAAGATAGCTAAATGATTAATATGTTTATTTTACCTTTGTAGCCAGAAGTTAAAAGAAAAGAAACTATTGGCAAAGAAGGTGAAGCTTGAACAGAAGAAACTAGAAGAAGGCAAGTAGACCCCACTTTGCTTGGTTGTGGTCTTGTCTTGGTGTTACTCAGTGTGGCCTGTCAGGAACGACTAAAATAGAGAGTTTGGGGTGGTAGGCTGGCCACAGGAGCTAAAGGGTTTATTTTTCTTCATTTGGACTCCCTTATTTACGAGTATCACAAAGCCAAACTGAATTAAGCAAAGCAAAGATGCCTTGTGTTGCATCTAGGACAGACCCTCCCTCAGGCCCAGCTGGTAAAGGAGCTTGGCGGTGTTGCTGGCTCTCCACAGCTGTGAGGATGCATGTTTCCCCAGCTCGAGAGGGTAATTTGAGTGCAAAGAATGAAGCAGGCACATCCATTAATCACAATAAAGTTCATTAAGCGCGGCTTACATGCAGGGGTCCGCAGCACTGAAACCCATGGACAGAAGCACAACCCCCACCTGACAAGTCTTTTTTACTCCCCACTTGGTGCGTGTGATCCTTCTCGCATAAGACTAATGATGCCAGATGTCTGGGGACACGTTACATGTGTCTTTGTTTTACTAAGGTTAATAGAGTTGTGTACGGATCACAGGTGCAGGTTAATACACGTGAAAGAAACCATGGAGAACTTGGCTTGCTTCCCAGGAGAGGGCAGTTTCAAGTCCCGGGTCTGACATGAGGTTGATACATGAGGGGATGGACAGAAGCAGAGCCCAGCAGTGTGTAGTGTTCCGGCAGGGACAGGTGCTGTGGGTGCAGGAAGGATCATTCCTTTCTGTTTGGGGATTTGTCCCACTTGGTAGGAAACTAAAAGGTGTGTAAGGTGGTAGACTTCTAGTAAGTTAGTATTATAATGAACCACACAGCGTTAGTAATTTATTTTTGCTGCAAAGCCTGATCTCAGAAAACATGGGAACATGTAGTTCTTCTGATGTTTTTTTTAAGATTTATTTATGCACACAGGACTGGGGTGTAGGCTAGAAGTGCAGGAGGTCAGAGGACTCACCAGAGACAGAGTGGAGAATCGGACAGGCAGATCAACCAAAATACCCTGTTGAGGGAGGCAGGGGTGGGACAGGAGCCGTCTGCTGCGCCACGTGGGTCAGCTCCCTGGCCGGGGATGGAACTTGGGCTGCAGTGGCTGTGTGTAGCTCCACAGTGCTGTGGTTTAACCTGTTGTGCCACCAGGGAGGGCCCTTTCTTTTTTTAATGACTGTAAGCCAACAGGATCTATTCCAATCCAAATACTATAAATACTATTAGATTATTTTTTGGGTTGTGTAGCACTGGCTTGGCCCAGGTTACATCATTGAACAGAAGTGTAGCAGTGAGCATGCTTCTTCCTTCCCAATTTTATTTTACTTTTTAAAAAAGATTTATTTATTTATGCATACAGAACTGGGTGTAGGCCAGAGGTGCAGGGGCACAGGAACAGAGTGGGGAGCAGAACAGGCGGACTGATGAAGTACACTGTTGAGGGGAGCAGCAGGCACATCAGGAGAGGTCTGCCGCGCCATGTGCGTCACCTCCAAGGCGGGGATCAAACTCACACTGAAGCGGCCACAGCTTGGCTTAGCTTCACAGTGCAACGCTTCAGCTCGCTGCACCGCCAGGGAGGGCCTAATTTCTTTATTTTTTTATTTTTTTTTTTTAAGATTTATTTATTTATTCGTACAGAACTGGGGTACAGGCCAGAGATGCGGAGGGTGAGAGGATTCACCAGAGACAGAGCGGGGAGCAGAACAGGCAGATCAACGAAGTACACTGCTGAGGGGAGCAGCGGGCGGGTCAGGAGAGGTCTGCCTCGCCATGTGGTCGCCTCCGGGGGCAGGCGGCGGGGATCGAACTCATGCAGAAGTGGCTTTAGTTTCTTAGTGCAGTGTTTTAACCCGCTGCGCCACCAGGGAGGGCCTCTTTACATTTTTAAGTGAACTATGGGCTGCAAACAAATCTGAAAGTTTCATGACGGTGCATGGGCCTTGCTGCTGTACCTGACTGAGAAGGTAGCACTTGCATCACCCCTTGGAGCCCGTGGGTTAGTTCCAGCCCCCTGCAATAAAGCAAGTATTGCAATGAAATAAGTCACAGGGTTTAAAAAAAATTCTAGTGTGTATAAAAGGTGTGCACAGGGCCCTCCCTGGTGGTGCAACGGGTTAAAGCACTGCACTAAGAAGCTGAAACCACTTCTGCATGAGTTCGAGCCCTGCCTGCCCCGGAGGTGACCACATGGCGCAGCAGACCTCTCCCGGCCCGCCCGCTGCTCCCCTCAGTAGTGTACTTCCTCGATCTTCCTGTTCTGCTCCCCGCTCTGTCTCTGGTGAAGTCTTTCGCCACCCCTGAATCTCTGGCCCGTACCCCAGTTCTGTATGCACAAATAAAATAAATCTTTAAAAAGAAAAAAAAAAAAAAAAGGTGTGCACAGCTCAGTAAGATGAAGTGCGGCCAATGGCGCTTGCCTATGTTGAAGTGTGATCAGTGGTACCCAGAGCTGGGCAAGCTTAGCTCCAGGAAGCAGGGTAGAGTGCTGTAGGGAGAGCCGGCAGAGACATGGCTCGTGTGCCTTTTACCTCACCCCCATTTCCCTATGTTTCATTTTATGAAAGAAACATTTTTCTAGCTGGTTGAAATGAATAGGAATTTAATGTGGTGGTGCTCAGGTGTGCCACAAGATGGCTTCAGGCCACTCGGGTTCTAGGTGGGCTTGAAGGGAAGTCATTCAAACTTTTTGCGTCTTCTAAAAACCAGTAAGCCAGAAGACCTGCTCTGCTCTTGGAGAAGAACTCTCGCTACTTGCTTGTCTCGCTGGCCCAGTAACTCGGTGTGAGTGGGCCGTGTGTCTGAACGACACCACCAGGTGGCAGTAGGTCCCTCTGCACAGGCGAGCCTTGACCTCCCGAGTGACACAGTCTAACACCAGTGTTACTTACCCAAAAATAGGCCTGCTACCAAACAAACCCAGGGCGGCCTTAAAGTAACTTGTTACTAAGTGCATGGAGAGCAGTTTTTTGACCTCAGTAACCATTGACATTTTAGGCCAGATAATTCTTTGTTGTGTGAAATGATATCCTGTTTACTCTAGGATGTTTAGCAGCATCCAAATGCCAGCAGCAGCTAGCCTTCCCTCGGTTGTTGACATTCAGAGTCCTCCAGAAATTGCCAAATACCGCTAGCGAGGGAGGGTGCACAGTTATTCCTAATTGAGACTCCTAACTGATACCTGGTGCTTGATGTTTTGGATCAGACTATTTGTCTTTTGGCCAAATTTCTTAAACATTATGTTAGATCACTGTCCATATCCACTGTGCTTATTGTGAATAAAGGTAATAGGAGAGCATTTTAGAAATGTTTGGAACATGCAAAGACAAATAAAATAAAAATAAAAATGGTCTGTGATCCTTGAGATTCTAAATTATTTATAATAGTCATTTTAGCATTTTAATATTCTAATATAATTATATAAAGCTTATTGATGTAAGTACATTATAGTTGTTCAAATCACAAATATTTTCCAATGTCGTTATAATTCCATAGTAGAAAGGACTTTTTTCCAAGTCTGCTCATATATCTGGATTTTTTTTTTTTGAAGGTCAGTATCCGTTTAATTATATGTTGTGGCATTTTACCTAGTATTTCTGTAATCGGTGAGTAAACTCTCAGAACCCTAGATTTAAAAATACTGTGGGAGCAGCGGTGTAAGAGTAGTGGAAGTAAACAGTATGGAAGACTCGGACATCCTCCTGATAGCGGCCCCCCTCTCTCCTCCGTAGTCTCTGTGTGCACATGACTGGCTCGTAGTTAGATCAGTACATGAGTGGTTTTCCATTTTGTACATTTACTACCATAAGCACTTCTGAGCTTCATCATTTCCCAGTGAGGCATCATATCCAACGAGTGACATAACAATTGACACACTTCCCCTTTGGTTATACATCAGGTTCATTTTAGTTTTCCTCTTCGAAAGTCACTTAGAGAACAGTCATGCACCACACTCCCTTCCCCCTTTGGGGTTCATTCCCTTAACATAAATTTCCAACAGTGGGAATTACTAGATTGCAGAGCATTAAACTATTTCATGACTCTTGAACTCAAATGTATTGCCAGTTACTTCCCAAGACAGCATTTTTCAGCAATAAAATATTTTTTAATTATTAAAGTATGTGTGTGTGTGTGCAATGCTGTCAAACACTTATAATAGATTAAAGTATAAGATAAACATTTCTATATCCTGGGAAACCAAAAAATGTGCGTGTCTGGCTGTCCTGTTTTTCACTTTCTTGCAGTGGTCTGACCAAGCCTGCATCTTCTGGGGTCCGCCCGTGCCGGTGTTTACTGCTGCCGGCACTGTGCTACCGCAGGCGCTTTACCACGTCCTCGCCAGCGCCGGCTTTTACCGATTACTCCTCTGTGTGCTTTGGTCTGGCGGCTCCTGTACACACCCAGGCCTCCCCCCGAGCCGTGCAGAGAGCTTCCCATCCTGCACCTTCCACCTGCGGTGTTCTCTCTTTGGAAAGCCTTTGACTTCCCTCCCCAGGCCGGCTTCACAGATCTAGCCTTTCCCTCCACTTTGCTCAAGGGGGTTTTGTACATACTTAATATATAGAATCTGCAAGGTCATATAATGTCACTCTATTTAGTTGCAGTCTCAGTTCAGTGACGGTGGGGCGGTATCTATCTTAAAATTTTTAGATTTATAGAAAAATTGCACAGATAGTACGTTGAGTTCCCATACACTCAGCTTTCCCTATTAACATTAATAAATATGGCACATTTGTCAGTGAAGTAATATTGATACAGTATCAGCTAAAGTTCACACTTTATTCAGATTTCCTGCGTTTTTAGCTATGCCCTTCTTTTGTTCCACTGTCTCATCCAGACTCTCAAATTACGTTTAATCATCATGTGTGCTCTTCTCTGGACCGTGACAGGTTCTCAGGCTTTCTTGTTTCTGATGACCTCTAGTTTTGAGGGTTGGGTGTTCTGCAGAATGTCCCTCAATTGGAATTTGTCAGATGTTTTTCTTATGATAAGGCTGGA